GGGGGGGGGGGGGGGGGGGGGTCGATGAGTGAGTGATTGAGTCATGCGTGCATCGGGAGAGAGAGAGGGAGGGATCCATCTGTGTCGTCGTGTCGTCGTGTGTGTGCGTGTGTGTGGTTAGGTTGATGAGTTCGAGGTGCGTCAGTACCCCGAGTACGCCATCTGCACCGTCCGCATGGACACCGAGAAGGACGACCGATACACCACCGACCTCCTCGCCACTGGCCAGGCCTTCCGCCAGCTCGCCGCATACCTGTTCGGTGAGAACCGCCCGAAGCCAATGGCTCAGGTGACGCTGGGCGAGGCCGAGCCGCCCGCTGCCGACAAGGGTGTGGCCATGGCCATGACCACGCCGGTCATCATCGACAAGTCGGTGCCGAAGGGGGCGACCATGTCGTTCATCCTGCCGTCGGACTACACGCTCGACACGGCCCCGCTGCCACGGGACATCGACATTGACATCGAGAAGGCTGGCGGGGACGTGCTGGCTGTGAGAGACTTCTCGGGGTTCGCCACTGAAGGAGAGATCAGGTGCGTGCGCGAAAACAGCAAATGAGATTGTCTGATTCGCGTACTTGGGGTGTGTGTGTGTGTGTGTGTGTGTGCAGTCGTCAGCTGGACAAGTTGCGTGATGCGATAGCGCTCGAAGGCAAGTGGGAGGTGGTCGACGAGTCATCCGATGCCTTCAAGGTCTTCCAGTACAACCCGCCACAAACACTACCATGGTAGGTAACAACACCACACCACACCACACCACACACACTCAACCGAACCACTCGTACACACATGGGTGTGTGTGGTGGCATGCAGGTTGCGGAAGAATGAGGTGGCGGTGCGTGTGCGTCGGAAGGGCACTGGTGGCGGAGAGGGTGCGGGTGGCGAGGTGGAGGAGCCCATCCAGGAGGGAGACGAAGACTTCGACCCACCTTCAGACTCCGCATAAGGCGCGAGCCGGTGACACGGGCAAATGCTGATCGGCCGGCTGTGTGTTTCTGGTTGCCATGACTAGCCTTCTGTCTGTCTGTCTGTCTGAGCGTGGGTGTCCTGTACAGTCACGAGAAAGAAAGAGTAGAGAGCGAATGAGGAAGGAAGGAAACAGAGCAGTCGTACTTTTGTTTGTGCAATGCATCGACGCGGGTGTTTTAAGGCGCACTGAGTGACTTCACTCGTGTGCGGTGCGTATGTGCGTATTCCTGTTGTCTCGTGGGTGGGTGGGTGGAGCGATGGGCCAGGGCAGGTGGCTGGGTAGGTAGGAAAGATTGGGGTGTGTTGATACAGCCGGATGGATGGCCGATGGCTGTCTATCGTAAGAGACACGCACACACACAGTAGACAGTAGCGAGCAATCGACCTGCGTACATAGGTGGCTGGCACTGCAAGGCATGGTGGAGTGTGCGTGTGATGCGACTTACTGCCTGTGAAGAAATGCCTGCATGGAATGGATATGCAGTGGATGTCTTTCTCTCACACACAGCATACAATAGCATAGCATCTCTCTGCCGACACGGCACACATCTCACTCACAATAACTCACAGTCGCTCGTATGCATGTTATGTGGTGTGGCCTCTGTCTGTCTGTCTGTCTCTTGTGCCTGCAGGCGAGCAGGCGGCAGCAGCTGGCTTACCTCAGTCGCGTCGCAGCTGTACTCCCACACACAGCAGCAGCAGCACTCCTCGCTGCACCACTACCATCACAGGTGGGTACGCACACACCTCTCACCAAACACGCTCTGCGTCGCATGCACTGCACGGCTGTCTGCTCTGCTTTCTGCAGGCCGAGGGCATCAGTGAAGGCATCCGGAAGGCCGCATCTGGCAGGAATGACCACGTTTGGCCCGCGTATGACGCATGTGCTACGTTTGTTTCGCAGGCCTCCCAGGACTGGGCCCGCCAGATGTCTACTACCCAGCTTCTTGGCTCGGCAAGTGGGAGCGGCGGGAGTCCGTCGTATCCGTCACCGCGCCAGAGGGCCCTTCGAAGGTCGACCCGCCCCACCTGCTGTCAGACGCCGAGAAGCTTCTCAACCGGACGATCGTCTTTCCTGTGCGTTACATTGAGAGGGGGAGCGGTGTGGTGATGGATCGAGCATTTGTGTGGGGCAACACGGAGAGTGCCCGGCGGTACTGCATTGAGAGTGGGGGTGGGGGTGTGCTGCCGATTGGTGAGGTGAGCGGGTACCCGACGAGGTGGAGCGAGTCCAACCCCAACATACTCACCATTGACATGCCTGGCGGGACCATCAGGGAAATGAAGGTAAATAAGGTGTCGCACACACAGACGGTTTTGCGATCGATGTGGCGCGGCATGGCATCTGTGCTGGTGTGGCCAACGCAGGTGACGAAGCGTGCGTTCGAGCAGCCGTCAGATGACACCTTCGGCTTCAGCGAATACATGCGGATAGCTGACGTAAGCTCCGCTCCACACGAGAGAGAGAGAGAGAGAGAGACGAGACACAACATGCATGTGTGTGTGACTGCGGTGTCAATGGACCTGGCAGACGTCGAGGGCGCTGACAGTGGAGGTGCCCACACTGTTCGCCGCCAGGCTACAGGGCAGGTATGTATGTCGGCAGGCAATTTTGGATGACCAAGACGCTGAAGTCTGTGTGTATGTGTGTGTGTGTTTGTGTTTAGGTATCGTCGCGTCTCGTCTCTGCGCATCGAGGGTTTGGAGTTGTGGCAGGTGTTTCCTCCGACCTCCATCGCCCCCGACCCGCAGCCAGTCCTGGTGATCAAGCGGCAGGTCGCCATGCAGCGCATCACCACATAGCGAGGGAGATGCATAGCTGTCTAGATGACCATTTAATTTGCGAGACCGGGAGTGTGTCTAAAGGACGTTTGTTGTGTGTGTGAGACGGTCACGTGGTCTGTTGGCGCGTGCTGATATCCTTACTTGCCAGCACAAAGGCAAGAAGGGAGAGGCGATTGAAAATGTCATGATTAAGGTAATAGGAGTCATGCACACGCACGCATCGCATCGACACCACAGGCACCACGCAGACAGACCACCAAACACGCAGCCGCCAACCATTGGTCCGCTTGCCCCTCTCTGACCGAGAGTCACTCGCACTCACCTCACACGGCCCCAATCAAGCAATCAATCACTGTGTCTGTGGCTGGCTGGCTGCCTGCAACGAACGATTCACTCAATCACTCACTCACTCATTGGACGGGTGGGCGTCTGTCTGTCTAGCTAGTGTACACACCGACATCACACACTCGCACAGCATATCATCGGAGACAGACAGACAGACATACAGACATACAGACATACAGACAGACAGGCAGACAGGCAGACAGGCAGGCAGGCGCGAAAACGGCCCTGCCTGGACACTTAGATGGACCCGGTCAGCCAGGTTTTGGTCAAACAAGGGGCGTGGGGTGGTGCTGCCATGGAGCCGACGAAAGCCGCTCACTCGAATGGGTAGGGGAAAAATGATCGCTCCCAATGCGGCTCTTGTTTGTTGTCTCTCTGCCACTGAGCCGGCCCGCCTCTCTCGGCCCTTCCATACTCACACAGACACGACAGCCAATCGCACGTCAAGCGAAGTGCAATTGCCCGCTGTGTCGGTGCGGCCAAGGGAGAGGGAGGGAGACAGATACGGACACTCGATGGCAGGCAGATAGGTCAAAAGCAGAAATCATAGGTACTGATAGATGTATATTGAGGTCAGAGAGGAAAGGCAGAAAGAAACGCAATCATTCCCCTCGAGCAGCCAGCACCCCATGCACCACTCCGCCACATTATATATCGATTTATCCATGAGAAAACAATCGTCCCACAGGCATACCACACCACACCACACCACACCACGCCATGTGTGCAGCCAGCATGAAGGACACGGACCAATATGTGTGTGTGTTGCTGTATGTGTGTGTGTGTTGTGCAGTCGATAGGGAGCTGCCCGGCCGCCCCGCCGGCTCACATGAGGTGACATGGATGGATGGATACTTAGAGAGACGCCATGTCGCCCCAGGCACACGCACACACACAGAGATAGAGAGAAGAGGAAAGTCGGTATGCATGTGTGTGTGGTGAGAGGGGTGGGTGTGGGTCGAGAGGTCCGTCCGATCAGCTGCATCCGAAGTCGTGTTCGAAGGTGTCCTTCATGCGCTCGAAGAACTGGTTCACAACTGAAGCGGTACAGAATTGCAGACAGACACACGGGCCCTGGTTGTTTGCGTGGGGGTCTGAGTGTGTCTGTGTAAGTACCGTTGGTGAGGTTTGTGAGGTCCTGTTTGAACTTGGCGAACTTCATCTTGGGCGACTCGTCGGTATCGGCGTGCTGCTTGAACGACCTACACACACACATACACCCACACACACGCACACAGACAGACACATACACAGACAGACATATGGCCGTCATGCAACGCGCCACCCATCCATCCATCCCCTCTGCTATGCCTTACTCGGTGAGGTCCTCGGCCTCCGTCTTCTCCTGCAGCTTGTCAAGCGTGTGCTCCAGCTGACCTGCACACACATCAACCATCATACACACACACACACACACGGATAAACGCCCTTCTCCCTCCCTCCCTGCCTGTGTGTCTGCAGCTAGGTACCTTGGTGGAATTCGAAGAGGGCCTTTTGGTTTTTGTCAAAGTTAGCGAAGTAGGCGTAGGCGTATGAGAACTTGAGCATGCGGCGGCAGTTGATGATCTGCAGTGTCGCCTCGTGCAGAAACGTCACCTCAGCGTAAGTCGCCAAACCCATCGTCACCAACGTCTACACACATACACAACACAAGACACAGAACAATCTCTCTCTCTCTCTCTCTGTGTGTGTGTGTGTGTGTACCTCGCATCTCTGCTTGATCTGTGGGAGCTGTTTGGTGGTCGCCACCTCCTGCCCATGCTTGTGGGCACGGTAACTGACGGATGACACACAACACACAACACACACAGGGGAGCACCATGGATGCCCGTGGTCCGTCTCTTCCCTCCCGCCCTCCCTCCCTCACCGCTCGAAGTAGTGTGCGTAGCGCTCCAACGACTCCTGTCAACCAATGCGTCACGTACACACACACAGAAGGAGGGCGTGGCGTGACAAGTATGCTTCCCAGATACTTAATGCTGTGGGCTGAGCTGTGTGCTGTGTGCTGTGTTGGTTGAGGTGCATACATACCCTTGCTCTCTTGCGCTCCTCTTCCTTTGGGTCCTCCTCGGCCTTGCGGCCCTCATACACGTTGCAACGGTAGTAGTCACCTGCACACGCACACACACACGCACACACACACGCACACAGAGAGAGAGAGACACACACATAAATACCCATGTCGCGTGCGTGTGTCTGCCTGCCTACCATACCTCTGTGGTCCTTCCAGTCGCCCAGGCAGAGCCAGCAGAACTCGTGGCGGCACCGACACGTCTATAGTGCACACACACACACACACACATACAGACATCAATCAAGAGAGAGAGGGCGGCTGGCGGTTTGGCTGTGTGTGTGTACCTTACCATGTGCATGCACCCGTGGTTCTTTTCGATGGGGTTTTTGCACTTGGGGCAATTCTTGGTATTGACCAGAATCCATGTCATGTTCTCGGCCTCGCTCTGGTTCCTGTACACAACACACACACACACACACACATCATCACATGACAGTACAGTACAGTGAGCAAACCAGTCCCCCCAGAAGAGAGGCTCTGTGTGTGTGTGTGTTTGTGTGGGTACTTACTTTTCGTTCCACTTCTTGATGGTCTCGCATGGGATGGGGCGGTGCGCCTCCTCACCACAGAACACACAGAACCTGACACATCAATCACACACACATGCGTTGACTGACCGACCTCGATGGACACACGCATGTGCCATCCACCCGTTTCATTCACGTGTTTGTACGTACCAGTTGCCGCAAGTGCATTTGACGTCTCCTGTGGAGTTCCTGTCCTCGACGGCGTTGCCGCACGCTGCCGCCGGGCACCAACGCATGTTGGAATTCGACTCCACAAAACCACTACACACACACACACACACAGAGACAGGGAGAGGTGACACATGCCTTCTCGCTGTGTATGTGTCTGTGTGTGTGGTGTTTTCGTCTGTGTGGGTTACACACTTGAGGTTGAATGACTGGAATTTGGCCATTTCGTCGTCAGAGAGGAACTTGGCCCACATGTGAGACGGCACCAACTCACGGCACCCAGGCGCTGGACACCTGCAAGCACACATTCACAGACACCACAGCACAGCCACCCAGACACACTCACGTATGGAGTGGATGGCCCCCCTACTCTGCAGGTCAGGTGCATTGACGTGTTGGCTGACCTCTTGCCGAGGCATGAGCTGCCGTCCTGCAGAGCCGTCTTGAGGTACTGCGACCAAAACCTGCAGAGACACACGCACACACGCGCTTCCCTGTGCCCTCCCCAGCCCCTTCGATGAATGTGTGTGTACAGTACTCTGGTGTGCTTACAGGTTTGAGTATCGGTGTCCGCATTTGAGCTCTGTGGTCTGGCTGGCCGGCACATGGTCGGCCAGCAAGGGGCAGTAGTACTCACCCTCCTTCATCTCAACGTCAAACGTCAGCACACCACCCTCACGCACACCCTTGCTCGACACACCCACACCCACACCACCACCAGCAGCAGAAGCCGCCGCCTCACCGCCAGCACCACCGTCCGCCCCACCGTTGCGCACGGCAGCAGCTGCCGCTGCTGCCGCGGTGCCGGCCTTGCCCTTGGCCTTCGGTGTCTCGGGGGGCGTCACCTTGGCCCGCGACTGTCGTGCCTTGGTGGCCCGCAGGTTTGGGAGGATGGAGAAGGGCGGCGGGGTGTTGCTGTCGCCGTCGCGGTCCTGCTGGCTCTCAGCCAGACCCTCGGGGATCGGCAGGTGGAACTGAAATGCCCACAGACACGACAAGAAGGCTTGTCGGTTGATGCGGGTGCTATTGTTGTTGTGATACCGTACCTTTTCGCGGACTTTTCGTTCGTCTGCGAACCAGTCTTGCGACAGGTCCTCGGGGCAGCAGCGGTACTCGCGCAGCAGAAACCTGCACATAACATTAACACGCAGCGCATTGCAGTGCACATGTCAGTTGAGTTGATGACATCCATGGGTAGTGTAAGCCAGGCTCTTGTGAGAGTGTGGCTGGGCTGACCATGCGAGGTCTTTGTCAATGCCGAGGAGTTCAGCGGTGTCGCTGACCATCTCCTTCTGGCGCGACTGCAGCTCGGCCGGCGTCAGCACCACATACGCTACCGGACCCTTGTACACAGCCTGTCACACACACACACACACACACATACAGTGCGTCAATCGACAGTTGTGTGGATGAGAGTGATCGATTCGATAGAGTGTAGGGTACCTCGTCTGCCTGTGGTTCGTCGAAGGCCCGTTCGTCGTAATCGTCGTCGTTGTCCTCATACTGGAACTCCTCGTCCTCGGCGTACTCAAACTCATTGTCCTCTGCGATGTCCGCATCATCACCATCAACCGAATCCTATCATACCCACCAAACACACAGACCAAACACAGACACAGCATAGCATGAATGAGACAGACACCCACCAATGAATGCATTGCAATGCATCGCACAGACACGACTCGTGCGTGTGTCGACTGGCTCCCTCCCTGCCTGACTCGCTCACTCACTCACTCACTGACTCACCCCCTGTTCCTCCTTGTGTTGCTCGAGGTCGGTCTTCCTCAGCTCGGCCGGCGTCTCCATCTCCATCTTGACGTCACCACCGATGGTATGGCTATTCCCTACCCCTCCCTCCTTGCTAAGCAGGCCACTACTGTCACCCGGTGCCGCCTTGCCCTCGACCTCAGGCTGTGGCTGGACACCCCCACCAGTCCCTGCTGCAGCTGCTGTCTTGTTCTTCCTCTGAGCTTTGCTTCGGCCTCCCGCGGCGGAGGCCGGGGGAGCGCGCTTCCGTGTCGTCGTGCCGACAAGATTGGCCAGTGGTAGCGCCCTCCCGCTACCACACTCGGTCAGCACGTCAACGCCTCACAATCAACACACACACGCCGATGTATGGCTGGCTGGACAACACGCGGGGCGAATGCGGGCAGCTAGGGGAGGGAGGGAGGGGAGCCGACGCGTCAGAGAGGGGACGGGCGCCTTGTCGCGGGTGGGAAGCGGCAAAGAGGCGGCTGTGAGGCTGCAGGCGCACCAACGAGTGGCGGTTCGTCGCCTGAGTGTCAAGACGGGTAGCGATGGACAGAGAGGCCGACGGCCGTTCTCCAAGCAGTATCGCCGGAGCTGTTCACCAAACAGCGGTACGACGAAACAACAGAACGCCGAATTCTTACCCACACCAAACGCGAGCATGCGATCCAACTACACTCGGGGAGGCTCAGGGGAACACAGCTCAGCTACAGCTGTGCAGGTGCGTTACTGAGACTCTTTCTTGCTTTAATTGTGGCCGGCGTTGATGGCGGAGGTGCCTATGTCCAAGAAGATCTGGGTGGGTGCCCTTGCAACCTCAGCGTGTGTTGTGGCTGGCGGCGCTGCTTATATCATGTACCAGAGCAGGCGGCAGCGTTGCAAGAGGAGAGTGGGTCGCGTGACGGCCATCACCGTCTACCCCGTCAAGGGCATCGGTGGCATCTCACTGCCGGCTGCAACGCTGGACAAACACGGTGCCGCGTGAGGCAAGCTTGGGGCATCGGACATCTCATTCATTGCGCGTCTGTCTGTCTGTCTGTCTGCAATGCCCATGTGATGGTTGCTTTGTCGTTCACTGCACTGCCCTTGAGCAGGCATGATGTACGACCGGAACTGGATGCTCATCCGTGTCCGCAACCACGAGTTCCTCACCCAGCGGCAGGTGGCCAGACTCTGCCTCCTTCGCACACACTTCGAGGATGAAGATGGCAAAGTCATCACCGATGGCACGCACTTCCACCGCGCCGCCTACCTCTGTGTGTCGACCACCGAGAACATGGCCAATCTGCGTGTTCCAGTGGCTGCTGGTTCGAAGGGCAAGGCGGGCGGCGAGCAGGAGTATTTGGTGAAGGTGTGGGCGTCAGAGGTCCGAGTGGGGGATGCAGGTGGGTGGGTTAAGGAGGAAGACAAGACAGGACGACGGCACAGCAGGTCGACAAGTGTATGTGTATGTTGTGTGTTGGTTATGTTATGTGTGCAGGCGATGCGGCGGCTGTGTGGATGTCCAAGTACTGTCGAGAGGAGGTTCGTCTGGTCAGGATCCTCGACTCCTCCCACAGGCCGCTCAACAAGTACTATGCGCCAAGGGCCGGCTTCAATGGCGATGAAACCGACGCGTAAGTGCAAGGACATGTGCACACCATGGCATGCCTCACTCACTCACAGTCTTCCAACAGGGAGGGATATGTGTGTGGGTCCATGCATGACTGTGTGTTCAGTATCCAGCCGGCGTTGTCTGACGGTTATCCGCTCCATCTCACCACTGAGGAATCACTCGCATTCCTCAACACAAAGTAAGTAACACACACGCACAGAGAGAGAGAGCGAGACGGCGCACACATGCCATATTCACCGTATTCACTGTTGGCCCTCTCTCTTTCTCTCTCTCTGTGTGTGTGTAGGTTGTCGGACCCCGTCCCGATGGACCGATTCCGTGCCAACATAGTGGTCTCTGCCGACGAGGGCCCATGGCAGGAGGATGGGTGGGCGGAGCTCTTGTTGGGCAGCGACACCAGGTGCTTCTCTGTCAAGCCATGCGACCGCTGTGTGGTTCCGACCATCGACCAGCAGACAGCAACACTCAACAGGGCGATCCAGCCCACCAAGACGCTCAAGCAGATCCACGGCGTTCACGAGGACGGGGGCAAGACGAAGAGCGGGTTTTTTGGTCAGAACCTGGTCCACACACGGGCGGGTGACGTGATTCGTGTGGGGGACGCCGTGACGGTGCTGAGGTATATGGATAAGCGGCTGACGAGTCAGTTCAAGGGCGCCAGCCCCATGTATGCCGGGTGATGAATGAATGGATAAGTGGAGATGAGTGATCTCGGGTGGGTGGCTGGCTGGTTGCCCCTCTCTCTCTCTCTCTCTCTCTCTGCGTGTGTTCATGTGCCTCTCTCGGAGTGTACCATAGACACGCCACGCCACGCCATGTTGTGTGAATGTGATGTGCGTGGGCACCAAAGGATTTTGGCGCTCCTGGCTGCCGGGTTTTTGATTTTGAGAACTCAGTGCGTGTTGCCGTTTTTGGCCACACCACCCATCTCTCCCTCTCTCCTTCCCCTCCCTCTAGCTGAGTTTGTGTGAGGCTATGTTGTTGCCACATAGCCGGCTGCACACGGTTGGGGTGTATGTTCTTGTTGATGTGGGCCTGTCTTGTTGTGTTGTCTTGTGTGTCTCTTCCTTCAGCCCTGTGCTTGGGACGCTACAGGTCTGTTTCGTCACCATGCGACGGGAAGAAGGGAGAGACATCCAAGACGGCATGGTGGACGATAATGGGTCACTCACTCAGACAGACAGACACATCGGTGCTTCACGTGTGAATGCACGTCTGTCTGATATGTAAGAATCAACGACAGAAGAAGAGAGGCACGGAACTACACGCCGACAAACAAGACAGACAGACAGACAGGCACATGCACCCAAGGTCAGAAAGCCATGAAAAAAACGTAGCATGTAGCCCCACGCACTCAAGACAGCCATGTCTTTCTTTTGCGTGCATATGATTACGCTTGTGGTTATACTTCGGCGTGCCTCTATGCATTGAGACCAGACTCCTGTCATTCATGGTGCTGCCTCTGTCCGTCTGTGGGACCCTTCTTGCCTCTGTCTGTCTAGCTTGCTTCCCCCGCCTTCCCCCTGCCTTTCATGTCCTCGTGCTCATCGTCTTCGTTTGAGTGCTTGGTGGTGGGGGTGAAGCGGCTGGTGATGTCTTGTCATTGCACA